TTTCTAAAGTAACCTTTCTCAATTACTTTCTCCACTTTTACTTTGCTTTAATTAATTACTTTATGTAATGGCACCTATCACCATCTGTCATTATATTTTTATGTGTTTACAATTTTATCTCCCACTGCCATAACCTAATTAAGGCAGGAAATTTCTTGTGTTAATAGTTTCAATACTGCCTTTCTATATTCTATGATAGAAGTATTCTATGCTCATTTTAATTACCAAATATAGATTTTTGTGTACCAAAACGTTATTGTTAGGTTTAAAGAATTATGAAATATGAATCATTTGTGTATTAAGATCCAGACAGTGACCTTGTTGCTCAGTATATACCAAAAAGATAAACTGAAGAAATGAGTAGTTCATAAGTCTAGACATTGTTCTGTGCCTATATAAGTCATAATATTTTGCATGTTGTAGTATTGCAAATGCCTCTATTCTAAGACTAAGTCCTAATTTACTTTAAAGGCTTTTCCCCCAAGAAGTGGAATAGGTACATGACAGTGTTGAAATGGACACAAGTAACTCTGCATCAAAATATCCATCTATATACCATGAAACCAAAGACAAAGGTGAAATGCAATGCCTCATGTGAGACTTATTTTATAACTCAAAAATTACAAAACTTACAAATAGAATAGTTCAGGCACTGAAAAAAAGAAAATATACCAAAATTCTATTCCAAGTGTTCAAACAAGTGATGAGAGTTTTTCAAGATAAAAGGGCCAGAAAAAACTATTTGGAGTTGGTTTATAACTATCTCCTTTCCATTTCCTAGAATAGTATAGAGTTTGAAAGAGCTATTTCAGCAGCTGGAAAACTTTAAGCAAGAATAACTTCCAATCCAAGAGTGACACTGTTGAAATACTGTCTTTGATGCAAGATCTTTTTTAAAAATTTCCAATTTTCTTTATTGTCGTTTTATGAAATGGTTACTTCATTATTTTAATACATTAATAATTTTCACTGATATTTTGTTAGTAAAATAATGTACATATAATTTTTAATTCTAACCTGAGACTTTGCTGAATTTGTATGTCAATTCTAGTAGTCTCATGGCAGAATCTCTGGGGTTTTCTAGATATAAGATCATATCATCAACAAAGAGCAATAGTTTGACCTCTTCTGCCTCTACTTAGATGCCCTTGATTTCCTTCTCTTGTCTAATTGCTCTGGCTAGAACTTCCAGCACTATGTTGAATAGAAGTGGTGATAGAGGACAACCTTGTCGGGTTCCAGTTTTAAGTGGGAATGCTTTCGATTTTTTCCCATTCAGCATGATGTTGGCTGTGGGTTTGGCATATATGGCGTGTATCATTTTGAGGTGAGTCCCATCTATGCCTATTTTGTTAAGCATTCTTATCATAAAAGGGTGCTGAATTTTGTCAAGTGCTTTTTATTTGGAGAGAATCATGTGGTCTTTGTTTTTACTTCTGTTTATGTGGTGACTTACATTTATATTAATAGATTTGCATATGTTGAACCATCCCTGCATCTCTGGGATGAAGCTCACTTGGTTGTGATAGATTATTGTTTTAATAAGCACCTGAATTTCGTTTGCTAGGATTTTATTGAGAATTTTTGCATCTATATTCATAAGGGGTATTGGTCTGTAGTTTTCATTTTTTGCTGAGTTCTTTCCTGGGTTTGATATCGGGGTGATGTTAGCTTCATAAAACATGTTAGAGAGGATTCCTTCCTTCTTGATGTTGTGGAATAACTTCTGCACATATGGCAGCAACATTCATCAGGTATCAGGCAGGTGGGAGGGGAGAGGGGAGGATGGGTATATTCACACCTAATGGGTGCAGTGTGTACTCTCTGGGGGATGGGCATGCTTGTAGCTCTGACTTGGGTGGGGCAAAGGCAATATATGTAAACTGAACATTTGTATCTCCAAAATATTTTGAAATAAAAAATAAAATCTTTTTATATCATAAAAAATAATAATTTTTAATTTTATTAAATTTATGGTTTCTCTTTGATATTTTTGAAAAATACCTTTAAAAACTTGTATTTTTAAGATATGATAACTATTGTTTTGCTAATTTTTATTTTAATTTATAAATTCTCAAACATTAAAATATATATTTTTTAAGTTAAAGAATTAAAAATATACTGGTACTGGTGTGAGTATCACATTGTATCACTATTGTATCACATAATATAATTACCAAATTGCTAGTGCTAGGATTTCGTTCTGATATTGCTATGACTACTCTGTTTAATGGTGTGTACCAAACAGAGCATAAGACTTCTTATTAAAATTAGTAGTGTGCATTGTATAGATTATTGAACAAAGTTCGGGATACTATGTCCAAGAAATAGAGTAAAGCTAATTGTCTGAAGAATGTTGGCCTTATTGGCAAATGCAACCCAATAATGGAGAGACATTTAAGTCAGTTATAAGAAATCATTCCAAGAAGAAAAAAAAGGGAGAGGATAAAAGTATTTTTTCTTCTCCTCGAGCTTTTCCACTAAAATTTTTTATTTCCGTTATCTTTCTTTTCTTCCCTTACATGTATCTTCTCAGATCCTTTCTGTTTTTTTATGTCTGTCTCCCTTTTCACCAGTAAAATGACATCTTAAACATCTTTTCACAATCATTAGGTTTCTCTTAACCTCAAGTCTCAGAATAGTTTTATATAAAAACATAACTATAGATTGGATATTCTAGAAACATGGTGATCTGAAAGGTATTTCTTTCTTCTCTCTTTGTATTAAAACAATTGACCTTTTTAACTAAAATGGCTACTGGACACCTAGGGAAGCTAAAATGGGTTAGGTCTTGGCTTCTCTGACAATCTCAACAAAAGCAATTTATGCACTTCTGTAAAATAATTTCTTAAATCGATCAATGTTATCCTAAAGTTTTCTTTTGTATTTTCTTTACTTCTGTTTTCTCTGTTTTACATTCTTAAATGTCTAAAACACTATTTAAACTTTCTCTTTCCCTGACAGCAGGATGAATTGATAGCATGTTATTTTCCTAGTGGATGAGTTTTGGGAAGCTTCTCTTAGATTTCAAGCTATCAGTGGGCTTGGAGGCTTGGGGGTTTGATTGCCTAAAAACTCAACAGGAATATTTTCTCATTGTGGGTTTTCTCTGCCTGTGAGTTAAACCTCTTTAGGCCACATTTTACAGATTGCATTTGGGGGCCTCTGACCTAGTATGTAGTGAAAGTGCAAGCTCTTTGGCCCAGTTTTTAGGATCAATAAAAGTTGCTTGGTTTGAAACACTTTCTTAGATTTGCTGCTGGCCCGTGTTCATCCAGCAACATCTTGCTGGATTCTTGTTAATAGCTGTATATTGGTTCTTTATTTAATTCACAGCCCTGATCCTGTTCTTTGGAAACCATACTACAAAATAGTATAAGTCCAAGTACCAGACATGTCCTTATCTGTTCTTTGCCAATTTAATCCATTTCAATTCAAAAGGAAAATTCAAGCATGATAGCATGATAGCCACAACTCTCCAAAGTTTTAGGATATTCTAATGCTCTCCTGTTCCCCCACCTTCCCCAGTATACTTCCCCTAACCTTTAACCTCTGTAGGAAGGAATGGGAATGACGTCTTTCTAAACAAGGTGGTATTTAGAGTGATTTCTGAATCTCTAGATAGCCCCTCAAAATGAGAGATGTAAGGGAAACATATCTTAACATCCATGAAGTAGCAGAGTGCAAACACTTAATTGACTTTGTCTGTGGAGTAGAAAAGCACAATACACTTGAAGTTAGGCCAAACTTAATTTTATTAATAGCTCTAAAAATTGTAAGTGATGCGACAATGCAACTAATTAAACTCGTCTAAATGTGTTTTTCATTTATAACATACTGATAATAGTATATATCATACAAGTCTTACTAGAATTGACTGAGGAAATAAGAAAATTGTGCGAAAGAAATTAGCTTAGTAGCTGTCACATTGTAAGTGTCAAAAAATGGATGGTTATTTCTGATATAAATGAGGGAATGATTCAATTCTGCAAGGTAAAAATGAAAAGCTGTGTGCCTTGAACAATGGGAACAGTAAATTACTAAAGCATTTTATTGATGCTATTTCATTTAAACTGTGTCAATGTAGCTTTTGATCCTTTCTTTTATGAAATGATTTTGTGCTCTTATAAAAGCATGAAAATAATGAACATATGGTTAAATTCACTTCATCAATAAGTCAGTAACAGTTTAAAGTCTTGAGAAGTGTTATTTTGGTCTTAAAAACTCCAATGTTAACATTATAAAAACATTCTTTCATTAGGTTCCCCATTGGTTTTATAATAGAAAGTTTACTAAATATGATTTAAGGTATAGGAATATTTCTCACAAATTAATGAGACTGAGGGCAAGGGAAGCCAAACACCACTATGTGTTCTTTAACAACTTAAAGATTATAGCTTATGAACTACAGTAGGCTAGAATACAGATTCCTTTCAAAAATAAAAGATAAAAAGGAAGACTGCAAAAATTACAACAAATCAACAAATAAAATTGCTATAATTAGTCCAGCTATCAGCAGATCATTACTGTCCACTGGAACTATCTACACTATGTCTCAAATTCATGTGGTCATCATTAAATCTTGCTAGCACATCATCAGTATATAATGATTCTACTAAGTATTAAAAATCTCATTTGTCATTGTTTTTCATATGTCAGTAATTGTCTCATTTATTCCAGTAGTTTTCCAAAACCTATCTATTATTGTTAAATATCAGTTTAGACCAAAGTTGATTTTATTCTTAAATTTCCAAAAGATATTATTAAGACCATTCAATGAAAACGTATTTTATTCTAATTCTCTCCAAGTAAATAAATCTGTTGGTTTTGGCCAAGAACACAGGTATGAGGGAAAAAATTAATGATTGAAAACTATCATATAATAATATAGATTGTATTTAATTTAAACAAAGAATTATTACTTTTGGATGACTGTTAATAGACTTCTTTTGAAAATGTTTAAATTGCAACTTGTCTAATTTACACTGATGTATTTACAGTTGCATGCCAGGATTTACTGGAAAAAACTGTGAGAAAGTAATTGACCACTGTAGACTGCTCAGCATCAACTGTCTGAATGAAGGATGGTGTTTCAATATAATTGGAAGATTCAGAGTAAGTAATTTAATACATGACAACATAATTTAGCACTTCAAAATACAATAGATTCAGCCAGTCTGTATTTCAAGTGTTTTATTAGTCTTAACCAAGAAATACATCTTCATATATAAATTTAAATGTGACTTATATAAAACTTAGTAATAGGAATTTTAGCTTATAACAATTATATTGGGAAGGAATTAGTAAGTGTTCTAGGCAATGTTTGTATTATAAAATAAGCATAGAGCTAATTGAGTCCTGGTAATGTATCTCTTTATATATAAAACCCCAGTTACTAATGCCTTAAGCTCTCAAACTAGATAGGAAATAAAATCAGTCTAGCAGTTGTTTGTCAGAGTATATAAAATAGTCTTTGTTTCCCTGAGTGGGTAATTTTTGAACTTATTTTACAAATATAGAAAGTGTGTATTACTATATGTCAAGGCATATTCTACAACCCAGCAATGTCACTTATAGGTATATGTATTAGAGAAATTATCCAGGTGAGTACTGAAAGAGACACATACAAGAACTTTCACTAAAAATCTGAAACAAACTAAAGTCTGTAGCTAGGAGAATGGATAAATTCATCATGGCACAGTCATATAATGGAATTATAAAGAGTAGTTAAATGACTGAACAATAGCTACATGTGTTAATACTTATCAAAAATACTGAATTTTAAAATTTTATTCCATAATGTTATATGTACAGTGTGATAATGATTACTTAAAATTTTAAAACATAAATATATACCTAATTCTATGATTTCATAAATATATAACTAACGTATAAATCAAAGTTGTGAATTATGTACACCACCTTTACTAGAAGGGCTGCCCATAGGGAGACAGGTGGGGAAATGACATCAGAGAGAGTACAGAGGGAACTTCCAGTGTATTTGTCATGCTTTAATTCTAAAAGAAATGTTGTTGGCAAATAAGGATCATAGGAACATGATATTCTATATATCATGTTAATGATAAAATATATCATTTTATTATTTTCTCTACTATAGTATGAAATATTTAATAAATTATTTTTTAAATAATGCAAAACAAACTTATGGAAGGTACTGTGGGCAAATTTTTAATCTGTGTACTTTTGCAAACATGCTAAATGTAACAATGGTACTATACAAGGATATGTAGATAAAAACATAACATTTGTTTGGCAGCTACGATGCTTTGGAATATCATATCATTTATCATCATTACCTCATTTAATCTCATAAATCCCATTCCACTTTATGAAAAAAATAAAATGTGTACTGGGCCTTTGAAAATTTTACCAATGTAACACATATAGATAGGGATGGATAAAGCTAGATTAAACCTAGTCTATGTGACTCCAGAATCCCTACTTTCAAGTACTATACATATATATTTTGATGTGAAAAATATACTATCATTTCTTTTTTTCTTAAAATTTATCTAGATTTTCTTATTAAGAAATTGCCCAATGTATATAAATCTCCTACTATGGTTTGAAATTCTTTCACATTATTCTCTATGTTTGGGTCTGGGGTTCCTATTTTGTGTCAGGTCAGTCTCTGAGTATTTATCTCTGACTTTTCTTTTTAAACTCTTCCTCCACCACCATTTTTCTCTGGGGAATCTCACCTATTCTGGTACTAGAAAGTATCTATTTATTATTGGCTCTAGATTCAGTTTGGATTTCTTCTTTAAGGAGTCTGAGTAGGCACTTTACCTTCAATATTTCATCGATAACTCAACTCCTCATACACTGAGCTTTAACTCAAATTCTATGTGTTAATCTTCCCATTTTGCATGAATGGAGTTAACATTACCCTCTGCCACTTTCTCTAGTCAAAAACCCAAGAATTCTCCTTTTCTAACCTTTCAGCAATTTATCTTCTGTCTTCACAGTAATTTTTTAGTTCAAATATTTATTGCTTTTAATTTAACTTGTTATCTCTCTAATATATTAACTAATTAATATATTTATTTGCTTTAAATATCTCCAAATCGATTCAAGATCAATCTGTATTCACTGGAAATAAGTGATATCTCATTCTGGTTTTGATTTGCATTTCCCTGACGTTGAGCATTTTTTATATCTTTGTTGGCCATTAGTCTATATTCTTTTGAAAAGTTTCTGTTCATATCCTTTGCCCACTTTTTGAGAGAGTTGTTTGATTTTTTTCTTGCTGATTTTTCCGAGTTCTATATAGATTCTAGTTATCAACCCTTTATTGGATGCGTAACGTGTGAATATTTTCTCCCATTCTGTAGGTTGTCTGCTCTTGTGATAGTTTCCTTGGCTATGCAGAGATTTTTAATTTGATTTATTTATTTATTTATTTTTGTTGTTGCTGTGATTGCCTTTGGGGTCTTTTTCATAAATTCTTTGCCTAGGCCAATGTCTGTGATAGTTTTTCCAACATTTTTTTCTAGAATTCTTATAGTTTCATGCCTTTGGTTTAAGTCTGTTGTCCACCGTGAGTTGATTTTTGTGAGAGGTGAAAGGTACGAATCCTGTTTCAGTCTTCTACATCAGCAAAGTCTCAGGTTACAAAATTAATGTATATAAATCAGTAGCATCCCTATATGCCAACAACAGTCAGACTGAGAACCAAATCAAAGATTCAATTCCCTTCACAATAGCAACAAAGAAAATAAAATATCTAGGAATATATTTAACTAAGGAGGTAAAAGACCTCTACAGGGAGAACTACAAAACACTCAGGAAGGAGATAGCAGAGGACATAAATAGGTGGAAGACCATACCATGCTCGCAGGTTGGCAGAATCAACATTGCTAAAATGTCTATACTTCCCAAAGTGATCTACATATTCAATACAATCCTTATTAAAATACCAACATCATTTTCCATAGATCTAGAAAAACTAATCCTAGGCAATAGATTTTTATAGATAATCTTTGAATGAAAATACAAATGAAAAGTAAACATGCTTTTAAAACGTTAATCAAAAAATCAATGAATTTAAGGCAATATGGATATATCATTTCATATTTTCACATCATATACCACAATAGTATACATAATTTATAATTCTGTATCATGAATAAAGAGTGAGATAACATTTTTACATGTATGTAAGAAAAATATGACTTGAAATAAACCCACTGAATGGCAATTCAGCAATATGTCTCTAAAATGTTTCAATCTGTAATAATTCAATATCTAGAAATACCTAAAGGAAGTAAACAAGATTATATTAAACATGAATACAAAACATTAATTATACTGTTATTTATTTAGAGCAACAGTAATCAAATTAAGCAACAAGAATAGGTAAAAATTATAATGTGTCTATATAATAGAAGATACATCCATTTTGGCCATGTTTTTGAAGCTTAATGATGATTTTTTGGAAATGCTCAGATAAAAAATGTTCAGTGAAGAATGACCGTATCATTCCAACTATAATTTGGTTTTAAATATATTCAAGTATTTATCCATTTGTAAAAAAACAAGATAATTTTTATATATTTTCTGGCATAGGGAAAAGGTAAAAATGTATGCCAGGGATGCTCCCTCAGAAATTTCCCATTGCTTTTTTTTTTAATTTTTATTTTATCGTATTATGGGGATACAAGTGTTAAGGTTATATATATTGCCCATGTCCCCCTTCCCCCTCGAGTAAGAGCTTCAAGTGTGTCCATTCCCCAAATGTTGCACATCTTACTCGTTGTGGTTGTATATACCCATCCCTTCCTCCCCCCTCCCACCTTCCTGACACCCGATAAATCATAAATATGTCCACTTAGGTGTTGATCCATTAATACCAATTTACTGGTGAATACATGTGGCCCATTGCTTTTTACCTCCCAGACTATTATAGACATTAGGGTCTATTAGGCAATATTATATGTCAATAACCCAGTCTTTCCTAGGCAGCAGAAAGTGCAAGGGAGGAGAGCCAGTTAGATAGTAAAAGGTGATGTAATTTCTGATATCATTCATTTACATAATAATTTAGTGCTTTATAACTTTTAACTATTATGAAATTCCCCTAGTATATCTGATTTGATGGAAACATTGAAGTATCTGTAGCCTGTGACCCACCTGACTCAGGGACAAATTGAAACAGACAGGAACACAGAAGAAAGGATCCAGAGAGAGACATGGGGAAGAATGGATTTGGAAATCATGGAGTGGCTCTGAGTTCATATGAGGATTAAACGAGGTTTAATAAGTTTTGATGGCTCCTAGGGCCAAGATGATATTTGTATTGTGCAGATGTGTATAAAATAGGCTAGAAGAAAATAAAGCAACAATTTGACAGTGTTTTACTCTGATTAATGGGATTCACTCTAAAATTACAATGAAAACAAATAATTTCTTTTGTTTGAATATACATTTAATTGAAGTTCAGTACAAAAGAAAGTATTCCCTATAGTGGCATTAATATTGGAAAGCTGATATTATATACAACTGGCCAAAAAACAGAAGGAAGAAAAAAAAAAGAAACCCTGTAGGTCAGAACCTTATTAATTCTAAGCCATGCTCTTCATTATGAGTTAAATTTCTCTATTTTCAATTCATTTTCTTTATAATTGAAGTGGCATAAGGATGCTGAACTTTCTCATTGAAATTGTGATGAGGAATATCTAATCAAGCACTTTCACAATGTCAACTGCATTCTCAATATTAATAATATAAATGGCCTTTATGATACAACAATTGTTATTTCCCGAATATTAGGTTTCTCACAACCACCTCATAAAAATAAGCTATGAAAGAAATTAAGAGCTAGTGACATAAAAAGATTTTATAATTATTTTCATGTTTACAAAAATAAATAAATGGCACCCAATAAATTTAAAAATACAATTGGTGTTATGTATGTTATAAATTTAAAGATATGGGTTTTATGTAATTAAATACTGTTTATTATTACTTATAGCAATGATTCAGGGATTTTTTTCCTTAAAGTTTCATTAGTTTACTGACATATTTATTCTCATTTTAACAGATAATGTATATAGTTAGAGCTACACTTTATTATTTGTGTCTATCCAAATATT